AGAATAATTTGTACTGTATTGGTATAGAAATAAAGTTCATTATAGACTGCTTATTCGAAGTCCAATTTGCATTCCAATTTCAAACCATTAAATGAATTCTATTTTTGAAATGATAAAGCCTATATCGTTTCGACAAAGTCGAGTCCATTTTGCATAAAACCTCTTTGCACGTGTTCAACAGAAATTATAAAAAAATAAAAGACAGGTAGACATTGCGCTACAGCTGATAGTCAGCTGTTTCGATAAATAAAGAGCAAGGAACATCCAACCTTATAACTTTATTATTAAGATATAGTTTTATTTAATTAAAATAAACAAAGAATTTTGCTATATTCTTCATGTTAAAATTTACAATAATAGTCTTTATTCATATATAGAATAAAACCTATTCAAAATATTTTTGTAATTATAGACTGTACGCATAATTACGATTAGAGGAGAAAGCGTCATGATTTATTAACCGACTTCAAAAAAGGAGTTCATGTGTTCCACATTATATTTTTTGCTTTAAAAACACAAGTACTTCGTTTATAAGGAACTAGCTATAACCCCCGACTTCGTTTTAAATAAACAAAAAATTATCAATAATTGTGTAAGTTACAATACTGCTAATGTAGGGGGGAAAAGGGATTGTTAGTAATGGAGACTGAGAATCCCATTGCTAGCAATATATCCAACCAGGTCGACCTCCTCGCGGTTCCCCCTGGTATGATAGTTTTCATGATTAATTCCTGATGAATTCATCATGATGGGCTAACTGGTCTGTTTTCATCCTCATCGATTACCCTTCACTGGTGCTCCGCCAGCGTATCCCATTAGCGAAAATACTGCTAATGTCATAAACTAGTTATCAGCGGCGGCTTTGTTCTCGGAAATACATAAATTAATAATATTAATACGTGAAGCAAAAACTTTGTACACCTTTTTACGTAAATAGCGCGGACGCAGGAGTATGAAATTTTGCACACATATAGTTTATATAGAGAAGGAAATACAGAATGATAATATTTTTTTATAATAAAGTTATGCATAAAAATACATTAAATCAATGAAAAAAAAAAACATTACACACACTACCATGTACTTGACACACACACGTATATACACTCTTTTGTTTATTGTTAAAGTCTGTGGTCGAATTGAGAATAGATTAATACTGTCTGTCTGTAATATTATTTGTGTATAGTCTTACTGAACGTTGAAACATAACCATAATAAATTCATTTATTACAATATAATATGTTATGGTCGAATTTCGACCACGGGGCGATCACTAGTAATAATAAATACACAATTTTGCTTCCTTCCTAGTTTTTTTATATGTGAAAATAGTATGGTAACCCCGCCTGCGCTAACGGGATACGCTGGCGGAGCACCAGTGAAGGGTGATAGATGAGAATGAAAACAGGCCAGTTAGCCCATCATGATGAATTCATCAGGAATTAACCATGATAGTTTCCAGGGAGAACCGCGAAGACGTCGACCTGGTTGGGTATTACTTTTTCCCCCATCTTCCTTCAGTTTCTTTTAATGGGTGATAATGGAATAGTAACCCCGCCTGCGCTAACACGTGGTACACGGTGGCGGGGCACCAGTGAGCGATGACAGATGAGGATGAAAGCAGGTCGGTTGGCCCATCGTGACAAATTCCACTAGAATTAGCCACGACGGTTTCCAGGGCGAACCGCGTGGAGGTCGACCTGATAAGGTGTATTGCTAGCAACGGGTCAATTTGACCTCATTACTAATGAACCCTTCCCAAAGGGATTGTTAATAATGGAGACTGAGAATCCCACTGCTAGCAATATACCCAACCAGGTCGACCTCCACGCGGTTCCTCCTGAAAACTATCATGGTTAATTCCAGATGAGTTCATCATGATGGGCTAACTGGCCTGTTTTCATTCTCACCTATCACCCTTCACTGGTGCTCCGCCAGCGTATCCCGTTAGCGCAGGCAGGTTACCATACCATTTTCACGTATAACAAAAAAACCCTTCCCCCCTTCCTTCATAGTTAGGTAAAACTAAGTTCCCTTATCAATAATTTACATAGTAAACAAACATGACCTTTGAAACTCTAATTGATAGTAAAAAAATTATAGCAAAACAATATCAACTTGGATTTTAATTATTTATTTCATAATATATGTAACATTGTTACATTAGCATTACCAGAGGGAGACTTTGTACAAAAGTCGTTTGCTTGGCCACCTCTGTCCCATTCGTGTTTCTACCGTGAAGCAGTTGTGTTTGCATGGCTGTGTTTCGGTTTGAAGGGTGGGATATGGCGTGAATTTACTGGGTACAGAGGAATAACACCTGAGTCCTCAGGAATGGCAACGCATGGGGGTATCGTGAGCGAAACAGTACACTCTGTTATATCCACGGTACTGCTCATGTCTATAGGCGACGGTTACCACTTTCCATCAGGTGGGCCGTCAGCTTGTTTGCCATTCTAAGTTGTATAAAAAAAAACATGGTGAATCATATACAAGACACATCATATAGGACTTTTTATAGACAACTTGTTTTGGGCCATCTTTTATTTTTAAGGGGTGATAACGGAACAGTAACCCAGCTCGTACTAAAAGTATATGCTGGTAAGGTACCAGTGAGAGATGATAGGTGAGAAGGAAAAGTTTAGTTAATTAGCCCATAATAATAATAATATTCTTTATTATCAGGTACTTAACCCATAGAGGTACAATTGTATTACAACATGCTCCGATAACCTATAAAAAATATAACAAACAAAACATACAAAAAAACACATAAAAATTAAACATACATACATACATACATATCTGTCACGCCTGTCTCCCATTAGGGTAGGCAGAAACAATGGAACGCCAAATGCTTCGATTCAAACTAACCTCTTTTGCAAACAAACTTCTTTATAAAAATTAAAATACATAGAAAATTTATAAAAAGTAAAGTAAGTAATATAGCAAACACAGTTATTAGATAAAAACAAGAGAACATTCTTTAATGTTTCTGTCTTGGTGCACGGACAAACAATACTTTTGAATAGTATTATATATATATACCATAGTGACAAATTTAAGGATAAATTATTCATCATGGTTTCCAGAGGGAATCACATGGAGGTCGACCTGTTTATTGATAATTTTATTTATGTTTGATATAATGAAGCATGAGCACTTGCGCCAAGCAATAAAAAACACATATTGAAATCCACTTATACTTTTATTATATTTATCTATTACAATTTCCTCAGCCATATATATTACTTATTACAAACACCCCAGAGAGAATCATTCAGCGCCCTCTCGCTTACTCTACTGTAACTTCTCTTCCGTTGTCTATGTGTAATGTTGCAATTGTTAAAAATAATAATTGTGGAGGCTGGAGATATAAAACAATTAAACTCAACACTGTTAGGGTATATTGACAACAATGGAGATAAACCTCCCCATTACCAACAATCCCTTTCCCCCTGAAATGTCAATTAGATGATACATCATGATTCATATAACTGGAATTCAGCATGATGGTTTCCAGAGAGGGCCACATGGAGGCCAACCTGTCAGGGAATATTGCCAGCAATGGGGCTGGTAGTCCACATTACTAACACAAACAGATCATTAGGGACCGAAGAGGTACCATTCCAGTATCATCCATAATCCATGATCAACAGACTTTTGGTGATTTTTAAGGGGGACACAACATACATACAAATTATGGATATGTGTGGGTACTGAAAAAAGCATATAATTATATATTTTGCATATTATATTTCATATAATAATCTGGTTTCTACACTTATAGTATAGTAGGGGGAGATGGGGTACATTGATACATGGGGCACATAGATACAGTCAATATACATCAAAAACAAAAATCATGCAAAATCATACACCCTACACGCACACTAGCACGGAGCAATGTTCACTCAACGATTAGCGCTTGGCACGTTCAGACCTGTTTCTGATGTTCTATACTATTTAAAAAACAATGTTGGCATGACTATCTAATTTGTTATTTAATAATTAAAGTAAAAAGACATTAGATATTAAGACATATTTTTTAATTCCAAACTATTTCACCTATTCCAGTTAAGTATGTTTATTTTATGAACTGTCAAAACAATAAAATGATATAATCGAGATTGTTTACAAAAATGCCGAGTAATTTAAAAAAAATCAAATTTTAAAACATCATTTGCTAATAAATATAAATAGTTACAATACAGTAATGATTCAAATTTTTTTTTAAATATAATTTAGACTTCTTAATTGCATTTCGGAGACTCAGATAAAAAATCAAATTTATATACTGTTTTAAAATTTAAATTTGGAATAACTACCAACGTAACTTAATTAATTCATATTATAAATAATACTGGCTCATTTACTTAACATAACTGCAAAAAGGTTATATAAAAATTAAATATATTAATTCTAGTAAGATTCCAATAAGAATATTTAACATATTGTTTACAATAAAAAAATTAACTGCACTTACCGGGCATCGCGCTGCCAGTCTGCCCCATTTTGGCCGAATTTAAATTTTAAATCCACACTCGAATTAACACAATTTATTTACTATGTAAACACATTTATAATGGTTTAATTAGTAGTCCATAGTCTTATTAAACACGTAAACTTGAACTATGATCTTAGAAACGCATGTTTACACTAATTATTTAAATAAATGGTTGATTTCATTATTTTGTTTAGACATGCCGTATTTTTTTAATAAACTACGTACTTAGGCACTACGTTACAAGTTACACTACTATGCTAAGTTTGGTTAAAATTATATTATTGCACGAGATTACTTCACATTATTGCAGATAATTAATAAGTTTTTAATTATTATTATTACATGGGTTACTTGACCACGATTCTGATGAGTTAATATTGTGTTTGACTTTGACATTGACAGATTTAGCTCAGCTTTTGTGCAACATAAGTTGAAGTGAACACAAGTGGTGAAAAGAAATTATAAAAGCCTCTATACACTTTTATTAAAATAAACTTGTATGTTTATATCTTTATTATATTCCATAATTAGTGATATTATTGTTATAGCTAATGCACTGTGTCCTAGTCATGTAAAATAAATATTCTGTTTTATTTTTTAAACTATATTATTTTTATTCCTGTGCTTAAGTTTGATTTATAAATAAAATATTTTGTCATTTCAGTGTTGCCAATATGTGGTGAATCCCTAGACTTCGGAGGAGTTATTTTTCTGGATCTAAAACTTACAGCAAATATTATTTATTCTTCTCCATTCTAAGGTTGCCTGGAAGAGATCGTTATTTAGCGATAAGACTGTCCATTGTTGCCTCTTTATCTTGGTTTTATGTAATGAAGTTTATGTAATTAAACATTCATTTTGTTTGTATACATATTATTAATCTTTATATGTGTATAATTTTTTGAAGGAGTTATTAAAAAGTTTTCATACATGCGTTTATACTTTAATAAATGTAAAAAAAATTAAGTAGTAAAAATAATCAAACGTAATTTCTATTTTTTTGTTAGGGCTCTCTTAGTTTTTATAAGAGGGTTTATATTTAATTTAGGAACTTAATAAATTTAATTTGTATCACTGAAAAACAATAATTTTTTTCACCAAACTTAAATAGTATTTTGGTATTCAATAGCGTCATAATTTTTACCGAATTGTTTAATTTGCGATTAAGGCTATATATTCATAATTATCAAGTTAATCATCAATTTATTTAAATGGTTACAATTAAATAATTATATAAAATAAAGTAAATGTTATTCGTAATGGTGAGAAAGGGCCAAAGTTATTGACTCTGTAAAACCGGAGTCATATTACTGGCAACACACATTAAAAAAACATAAATTTAAAAATTGTTTATCGCCTATCCGTTGCTTAACTCATGTTTTTGTTTATGTTTCTTATTATTTAGTTCCATGTTTTGTTGACGGAGTATCAAAATAAATCATGTCCTTACAAGTGAATGATAAGAAAAAGGCTTTGCAACTTCAGAAAGAGAAGTTGCTCGCTGAAATCCGATATTACGAGAAGAGAATTGAAGAATTTCCTAACTGTTTAAACCGAAGTTTCACTCTAGATGATTGCAGGTTTGAACATTTATACTGCTTTTTTTAATGGATTGTAATGGAATGATATCCTCGCCTGCGCTTACAGAGTACACTGGCACCTGGTGCCACCTGGCACTGGTACAAATTCACCAATGAATTAATCACGATGTTTTCCAGGGGGAACTGCGAGGAGGTCGACCTGATAGCGTATATTGCTAGTAAAGAGTTGCCCCATTACTAACTTGAATCCTCGAACTATGCCAGCCTCATAATGTCTGATAGTCTGTCAGTTCATCAGGGACACCTTTACCCACAGATATAGCCGTTTTGCATCATAGGTCCCATTAACAAATAAAAATACGAAATATTTCAGCTCCGACTCCGAAGAGGAGTTTCCTATCAGAATAGAGCACAGCCGGTCTGTTTCCGAGCTCAAGGTGGAACAGTCTGTGCTGAAGACCCGGCTGCAGGCCACACAGGAGCTGACCAACCTGGAGGTGCTGCAGTCAGAGGTGAAAGTGCTGGTTGGAGAACCTGAATTCACTGGGTGAGGAATTACACTGTAGTTGATTTAAAAGTTTGGAATTTATTTATATATTTAAGCCTTAATTTTAAATCAAATTAAAAATATATATAAGTGAAAAATAGTAAAAAAAATCAAAACAATATTTTTATATATTTATTTAAAAAAAACATTTGTTAATATGTAAACAGCCAAACATTAAAATAAAATCGATTATAGGCGCTCAATGCGATTTATAACCCCGGTATCAAATTTGAAACTTCAGAAATTTAAGGGTTAAACTAAGGACCCGCCCTGGCTACGCATGGGTGCACATTACATCTCGTCACATTAGAAACCTCTAAATTTATCAGTGTACCTCTACAATATTATGCATGTATTATACATATAAACCTTCCTCTTGAATCACTCTATCTATTAAAAAAAAATTATAATATGTTATGTAGTTTGAAAGATCTATGCATACATAGGGACAGACAGACGGGAAGCGACTTTGTTTAATACTATACAGTGATATATTAAATATATTTTTAGGATTTAATTGAAAGAATTAAATAATTTTACTTTAGTAATTTTAATCAATATATATTAATATAATAAAGAGGGAAGGTTTGTTTGTTTGTATGTTTGTAACGGATTAATTCAAAAACTAGTCAATAGATTTTAAAATCCTTTCACATATAGAAAGCTACATTGTCAGTAAGTAAGGCTATATTTTACTTTACTTTTAGAATAAAAAGGAAAACATATAAAAAACTAAATGAATGTAGAAATGTTTGTGCAAAGGACCTAACTCAGCATATGTCGCAGTTTCATATCTGAAGCTACGACATTGAGTTTCAGTAGGCCCTAAATACGTAACTAACGGACATCATTCAATCAGCTTTTAACTGCCCACTGTTGGACATAAGCTGGGGAGGCTTTAGGGGGTTTTGCCAGTAGTTGTTACGCTTGGCAAGCGATTGGAAATCATAGACTTTGGAGATGTTTAAATAGGGACGCTGCTGCCCATCCCTCGTCCTCCCTTAGTCGCCTTTTACGACACCCACGTGAAAGGAAGGTGTGGCCTATTCTATGCCGGGACTACACAGTCAACGTTAGGCTATATATTATTTTCTAATTTTATTGCTACTTTTTTCAATTTATTTATGTCCAAAATGATTTTAATTTTACATTTACACATAAATGTAATTTTACATTACATTTATGTGTACTGTGGTGGTAATGGTGGAGAGTTTTTTTTTATGTGTGAAAATGGTATGGTAACCCCGCCTGCGCTAACGGGATACGCTGGCGGAGCACCAGTGAAGGGTGATAGATGAGAATGAAAACAGGCCAGTTAGCCCATCATGATGAATTCATCAGGAATTAACCATGGTAGTTTCCAGGGGGTACCGCGAGGAGGTCGACCTGGTTGGGTTGCTAGCAATGAGATTCTCTGTCCCCATTACTAACAATCCCTTTCCCCCCCAATGGTCGAGATTTGGGCAGCAGGGTTCCTCTTAAAACATCGCCAAAAGCCAAGCAGCGGTTGCTAACCCGCCTGCTAAGCATGGGAACTGCTTGCAAACTTCCCCAATGGTAAACTGCCATAAGAAATGACTCTGTTCCTTTTGACATTCTATTTGGAAGACATATGTTCAGCAGTGGCCAAATAACTATGACGATACTGTGACTATATTTATTTATACTTTATACACAAAAAATTATATACTTACGTATAATTTATCTATCCTAATCTACACTAATATTATAAAGAGGAAAGATTTGTATTTTTGTGTGTATATGTATGTTTGTAATGAATAAACTACTTCGCCGATTTCAAAAATTATTTCACCATTACAAAGCTACATTCACCCTGAGTAACATAGGCTGTATTTATTACTAGAAAACATTAGGGATCTTTACTAAAACTTTAGTAACGTAACTCGAGGTGTAAAAAAATGCTATAAAATATCTTTGGTCGCGTGCGCTGCGGAAACTATTGGTGATAGAACAAAAAGTATGTTCTACAATATTGAAGGAAATATCAATAACTACAGAAAACTTCACGACACTATATGTCCAACTATTATCGTTATGTCACAATAGCCACTTTTTACATTTTAAAAAGCTGATAGGTTTATTCGCGCGGTCGGCAGTAGACGTAACTGATATTGAATATTTTTTGACGATTTCAATGGCATTTTTTTGGCGTAGTTTATAAATGTCCACCCGTGCGAAGCCGGGACGGGCCGCTAGTATGTACAACAGGCGAGCTTGGGGGGAAAGGGATCGTTAGCAATGGAGTTTATCAGCCTCATTGATAGCAATATGCCTTAGTAGGTCGAGCTCCACGTGGTTCCCCCTGTAAACCATCGTGAATAATTCTTGTTGAATTCGTCACGATGGGCTAACTGACCTGCTTCATCTTCACCTATCATCCTTCACTGGTGCCCCGCCGGTGTATACCGACAGAGCAGGTGGGGTTACCATTCCATTATCACCCATTAAGAAAAACAGGCGAGCTTGGCCCTGTAAGAGTTCTAAAATTATGTTTACTTGCAGCGAGCCCCCAGTGACAGAGGAGGGCGTCTGGCTAGAAGTGACGGCGGAGTGCCGCGTCGACCTGGTGCCGTTCTCCATTATTTTCTGCGTGCATAAACCTGTTAGTTTCATACCATTTTTGTACTTTTAACTGACTTCAAAAACTTTTCTTTCTTTTCATGTTTATTATCATGTATACCCAGAGTGAGACTTTGTACAAAAGTCGATTACTTGGGTACCTTTGTCCCATTCGTGTTTCTACCGTGAAGCAGTTGTGTTTGCATGGCTGTGTTTCGGTTTGACGGGTGCGATATAACAGTAAATTTACAGGGTACAGAGGAATAACACCTGAGTCCTCAGGAATTCCAACGCATGGGGGGTATCATGGGTGAAACAGTATACTCTGTTATGTCCATGGTACTGCTCATGTCTATAGGCGACGGTTACCACTTTCTATCAGGTGGTCTGTCAGCTTGTTTGCCATTCTAACTTGTATAAAAAAAAACATAATTTGGTCAGTTGTAAATAGATTTTTTTTAGTGGATGAAAATGGCATGGTAACCCCACCCGCGCTATCGGTATACACCGGCGGGGCACCAGTGAAGGATGATAGGTGAGGATGAAGCAGGTCAGTTAGCCCATCGTGACGAATTCAACAAGAATTTTTCACGATGGTTTCCAGGGGGAACAACGTGGAGGTCGATCTAATAGGGCATATTGCTAGCAATGGGGCTGTCAAACTCCATTGCTAACAATCCCTTTCCCTTCAAATTTGAAGAGTCGTTAAGGCGCTAAGAGGCAACAAAGGAACACATTTCCACGTTTATAATATTGATAACAATTTCAGAGTCGAAAGTTTGGCGCGTTCTCGTACCGGAAACTCCGTGTGGCGGTGGTGAAGGCGGCACACGAGACGGAGCTGGCTGCTTCCGTGCTGGGGACCGTCAGACAGCCCAGCGATGCCGTCGAGGTAACACTGTTTGCTTTATACAACTTAGAATGGCAAACAAGCTGACGGCCCACCTGATGGAAAGTGGTAACCGTCGCCTATAGACATGAGCTGTACCATGGATATAACAGTATACTGTGTTGTCTATGATACTCCCAATGCGTTGCAATTCCTGAGGACTAAGGTGTTACACCTTCGTTGTCTTGGTTTTAAGTTTTAATCCGTCCTGGTTTGGCGGGTAGATTGATAGGAAGGTAAATATGTATACCATAGTGTTAATGATGTGCGTTTGCGTTTTGATGATGAACAGATGATATGATGATGATGATGAATAAATACACCTAGTATTTGAAGCGGTTTAACTAGGGTAAATAAAAAATAAATAATTTTGAAGCGTTGATGTAATATAAATTTGATGTAATGCACTGAAGGTTGTTTTGCATGTAAGTTACAATTTGAAACCTAAAAGGTCATGTAAATTTCTCCTGCGTTATGATTGGCGTTCTCGCGATGTCGTGATGAGCGACTCTTGTGACTGGTTGATGTCGTGTGTTGATTGTCTATTAATAACTTAGCAGTCGTCCATTGGCTTTACCCCTGAAAACGCTTCATTGTACGCAGGAGCGAACAACATTCATGGCATATTGTTAATGCTTTAACACATAGTCTTAATTTATTATATCTGCTGCAATACAAGGGGTATTACGCGCGCGTTGCCAACCCTGAAGGAACCTCTGTATTCCTTTTAAAAAAAAAACCAATGGTGTAGTCTTTTAGACATACCTTGACGGGGAGCTTTCGTGGAAGGAAACATGTCTGAAACCGCGTTGTACGCGATCATATTGAACAATTCCTCTGAGCACAGTCCGTTGTACAAGCAGTAGAATACGCAGAGTGAGGCAAAATTTCTCCTAAGACTTAAGGGTTCGAAACCTGGGATCATCGACAACTCTCTTAGGTCGTCATTGCATTGAGTCGAAGGGTTCAAGCTGGTAAGCTAGGTAGGTAGAATAGATTTCCGATGAGAACAATCTTGGTACGTCCGTTAACCAGCTCTTGATTTTAACTGAGAGATCTAGATCTAGCTGCAGTGCAATCGTCATCATAATTTCAGCCAGTATCCGTCCATTGCTGGACATAAGCCTCCCTCATAGACTGCCATAGAAAACGGTCCTGAGCCACCTGCATCCACTGACTCCCTGCTTCGCATTTTGGATCGTCACTCCACCTAGTGGGGGGTCGTCCTATACTGCGTTTTCCCGTACGTGGTCGCCACTCAAGAAGCTTTCTTCCCCATCGGTTGTCGGTTCTTCGAGCTATGTGACCAGCTCAAGTGCAATGCAGTACAATAGGGAATCTATGGTTGATTGGGAGAGAATGCTTTTAGCATTAAGTCCGCCATGTACACATATATGTACTAATGAATAAATAAATAAATAGAGAATCAAAATTGGATTGATAAGACTTTATAGTAAATTAAAATCCTCTATACAGTACCGTTCTAAAATACTTTGTCATAATCGAAGGAAATTCAGTGTTTTTTTTTCTACCACAAATGTGATAAACAAGCATACAGCCCGTCTGATGGTAAACGGTCACTGTAGCCTATGGACGCCTGCAACACTAGAGGTGACACGTGCGCGTTGCAGACCCTGAAGTAACCTTAAACTGTGTATTGGGGGGAAAGGGATTGTTAGTAATGGAGACTGAGAATACCATTGCTAGCAATATACCCAACCAGGTCGACCTCCACGCAGTTCCCCCTGGAAACTATCATGGTTAATTCCTGATGAATTCATCATGATGTGCTACCTGGCCTGTTTTCATTCTCATCTATCACCCTTCACTGGTGCTCCGCCGGCGTATCCCGTTAGCGCAGGCGGGGTTACCATACCATTTTCACCCATCAAAAAAAAAAACCTTAAACTGTGTATATCTATTAGGTTTTACAGCACACGTAATAAGCCTCCAGGCCCGGCTTATGGATTTTTTATGTAGTATAAATATGGTTTCCTTTTCAGGTGCTCAAAAGCTACGCAGTGGCGCATCGCTCCAGACGGACGACCCTCGCGCGGCTCGCAGAGAAATACGGGAACTCTTTGTTCATGGAGCCTATGGTAAGAATATTTACCAGAGGGAGACTTTGTACAAGTCGTTTGCTTGGCCACCTCTGTCCCTATCGTGTTTCTACCGTGAAGCAGTTGTGTTTGCATGGCTGTGTTTCGGTTTGAAGGGTGGGATATGGCAGTGAATTTACACGGTACAGAGGAATAATACCTGAGTCCTCAGGAACGGCAACACATGGGGAGTATCATGGGTGAAACAGTATACTCTGTTTTGTCCACGGTACTGCTCATGTCTATAGGCGACGGTTAGAACTTTCCATCAGGTGGGTCGTCAGCTTGTTTGCCATTCTAAGTTACATAAAAAAAAATACGGGTAAAATCATTTAATCATCATATCTGCCCTTAACTGTCCACTGCTGTACATGAGCCTTCTCCTTGAGAGGTAATGTAATGTAAATAGGACTCTGTTGTAGCCTCTCATTTGGGCCATTGTTCGTATAAGTCGTGGCCAGTACAGCCAACCCAGCTCCGCCCAGAAGCACAGAAGCTTCCTGGGTTCTTCACAGGCCTTACAGAGCGACCTCACCGTTCCGAGGATTTCTAAACGTTCATGGGCCACAGCGTCACATTCCAGGATTACGTCATCAGCCATTTCTTCTAGCTGACGTCGAAACAGCCTCGACATAGAAAGCTGTCTGTGGCTTCTTGAGAGGTTTTGTCAGTAGTAGCAACGCTTGGCAGGCGGTTTGGCAACCGCAGTTAGGCTTTTGTGATGTTTTAAGAGGAACGCTGCTGCCCATCCCTCGACTATCATGGATTGGGTAAAAAGTTTTTTTTTTTTGCAAATTAGAATACCAAACATGCTGATGGTCCACCTGATGGAAAGTGGTAACCATCGCCTATAGACATGAACAGTACCATGTTTAGACTCCGTTTCCAATAATCTTCCCAAATAATTTTTTGTTACATTATGTTCTCCAACTGGATCCCCCTGAAAACCATCGTGCTGAATTCCAGGTGTATTCATCACGATGGGCTAACTGACCTGCCTTTTTATTCTCACCTATCATGTTTTCCTGGTACTATGCCAGCCGTTCCATTATCATTAATTAAAAACCCCACAGGCCGAGGGTGGGTACCTGTTGAAGTGCGCCGACCTGCTGGAGATGTCGTGGACCCTGCAGAACAAGTCGCGCGTCGCACCCTTCCAGCACCGGATGAAGTTTGAACTTGAATACATGGGTAAGTCTTGTTTCAGATCTATAGTTTTATACAAATGCAGAGAAATGCTAAACAAGCTGACGGCCCACCTGATGGAAAGTGGTAACCGTCGCCTATAGACATGAGCAGTACCATGGACGTAACAGAGTATACTGTTTCGCCCATGATATCCCCCATGCGTTGCCATTCCTGAGGACTCAGGTGTTATTCCTCTGTACCCAGTAAATTCACGCCATATTCCATCCTTCGAACTGAAACACAGCCATGCAAACAACTGCTTCACGGTTAAAACACGAATGGAACATTCATCAATTGAACGTTTGCGGGAAAGAGATCCTTTGAAACCTCACTGTACATTTGACCATTTTAGTTCTAGGTTTCTATTGATGATGAATTCCTTATGGTAATGGGACTTGAGTTAAAATAAAAATAAATACAATTTCCATGCAAAAACTTACTTAAAAAATAAATTGAATTTTAATCTTTATATACACTTGATGATATAATACAGCTATTAACTGTCTACTTCTGAACATAGGCCTCCCCATGGAAGGTTTTGCTAGTAGTTATGCTTGGCAGGCGGGTTGGAAACCACAGTTAGGCTTTGGTGATACTTTAAGAGGGACGCTGCTACCCATCCTTCGCCCATTAATTTCTCTTAGTCGCATCTTACGATACCCACGCTAAAAGAAGGGGTGACCCATTCTATTCGCAGACCCCGCGGCTATGCACTCAATTAATTCACTTTTATTATTTATTTCAGCGGAGTCATACATAAAAGCAATATCACAAGTCCACAAACAGCTGTCCGATCCGACGATCACTACAGACGAACGCACATTACTGTTGGCGAAAATAATCAACATCGTCCTCGAGGCGAAAGGTCCAACGCAAGAGCTCTACGAAAGCATGGAATCGGACCCCGAGACCGCCAGCAGCCTTCGGAGGCGCCGCACTACATTAGACGAACCGGATCCGGCAATTGAGTATCCGGTGGTGAAAAAGAAAAAAGATAATGAAGTTATGGCCCCACCTAAATCTCTGCCTAAAAAAGTTAAAAGAAATAAAAATAAAACAAATGAAAGTAATATTGAAAGTGATAACACTAAAACAATAACTGCTGATGTAGGAGAGAAAACTCAAAACGATGAAGGCGTGGAATCGGTTCATAATGATGTTTCGGAGGGTTCATTAAAAAGTACAGAAAATACTAAACTCAAGGAAAACGATAATGTCATAAAAACAAATAAAAAATCAAATAGTAATGATAATCATAAATCTAAAAGTAGAGAAAATAAAGAATCAAAAGATAAAGAAAATAAAGTTGTTAAAGCAAAATCAGTTAAAATGTCGAAAAAACTAGATCACCCAAAAGGTGATAATATTGTTGATAATGAAGATATTACCGAAACTAATAGTAGTCATGCAGGAAATAAAAATAGCAAACATATTTCTAAATCTGGGAAAAATACAGACAATCCAAAAGAGAAAGGAGATAGAGTTGTTGATAAAGTCAATACTAAAACTAAAACCAACGATGAACATGCAATTGGGAAAGCTAATACAAAAAACAAAAAAGTCGACGTTGCAGCACAAAAAGGGGAAAATGCAGACGACCATAAAGATAATGTAGACAGTAATCCAACAAATGAAAAAAACACTAATAAAGATGGGAAAACAGTTAAAAAAACTGTTAAAAGAGTGAATAGCGACAATCAAGTACAGAATGCTAAAAAAATTAAAACTAATAATTTGGTTGATAGAAAGAATCAAGATAAAGGAGACAATTCGAATACAAAAACAGTGGCTAAAGGCGTAGAGAACAATAAAAAAGATATCCCTGGAACCACTAATAAAGGGACTCATATAGAAAATAAAAAACTAGAAGGCAATAAGGATGCACAAATAAACGAAGCAAGCGACAATAACAAAATCGTGTCCAATGCAGCAAACGAAAAACGTACACAGAAAATTGTTGAAAAAAATCAAACTGTTAAATCGAAAAGTAACAATGCAGATACGAAACAGAATAAAACATTTAAAAATAAAAATAATAATGATATTAATAAGCAAATTTTAAATAAAATCACAAAAAATAATCAGGAGAATGAAAAAAACATAACAAACACAGTCGATAAGAATGTTAGAAAAGTTATGAATCAAAACAAACCCATATTTGGTAATAAATTATTGAGTAACATAGGTAATGGAATGACTAAAACTAGTTCTAAGATACCACAAAGAGCATCAGCGCAGGGGTTTTTGAAGAAGAACCATCTACGAATCAGTCCAAGTAAGTAAATTTAGCCATTTCAACCAACTTCACCAGAGGGATTTTGTATAAAAGTCGTTTTGCTTGGCCACCTCTGTCCCATTAGTGTTTCAACCGTGAAGCAGTTGTATTTCGGTTTGTACGGTGGGTTAGTATAAGGCAGTGAATTTACAAGGTACAGAGGAATAACACCTGAGTCCACAGGAATGGCTTCGCATGGGGGGTATCATGGGCGAAACAGTATACTCTGTCATGTCCACGGTACTGCTCATGTCTATAGGCGACGGTTACCACTTTCCATCAGGTGGGCCGTCAGCTTATTTGCCATTCTAAGTTGTATATAAAAAAATAATAAATCTAATATATAAAATTCTCGTGTCGCGGTGTTTGTTACCAAACTCCTCCGAAACGGCTTTACTGATTTTTATGAAATTTTGTGTGTTGAAATTGGATAGGTCTGAGAATCGGCCAACATGTATTTTTCATACCCCTCAATCATAAGGGTGACCCTAACATAAGACATAAGGGTGATTTTTTAAAAAATATTTTTATTTTATTATGATTTAGCATTGAAAAATACGTACAACTTCAAATTTCCACCGTTTTACGATCAACTCCTGTTTTTTAATCGCGATTTTTATATACCGCAATAGGGTCGCAAGATGGCGATCGAATATAATATTTGTAATACGATAAATTTTCATGTATAGTTCTAGAAATAATGTATATGGTAAAACAACGTTTGCCGAGTCAGCTAGTTAATAAATAAATCTTTAATTAATTTACATGTTTGCCTTGTCAGGGATAACACCGTCTAAATTCAAAACGGGCTCAGTACAGAAGTCAAATGGCAGAATTGCTCCTCAAATACCCATCACGAGTATACCAAGTAAGAGGGATAACTTTTTTATAATTTTTTTTTTCTTTTTATCTACCTGACAACGAGGTCATTGCTTCATAAGTACATAATTTGCTTATTTATTTATTCACAATAGTGTTTGCTGTATTTACATTATTTTCACCGGCACCTTTCCTGCACTGGATTACCCAAATTAAATTATTTTCTCTCTAACTACACTGGGTTGGCTGGAAGAGATCTCTTTCAGAGATAAGTCCTCCCTTGCTAACAAGTTGTTACACTAATCGTCGCATGTATTGTTTTTTTGTATTTTATGCATGAAAAATTATTAATTCACTCTTGCGCCACCTGCCCATTTCTATCTGTTCTCCTTTAACTAAAGGTTGTCTGTAAGAGATTGCCCTGGCGATAAGACCGCCTTTTGTACCTTTATGTGTATATTTCAATCTGAATTTATGTTACTGTATTTCACTTGAACGGTAATTTTAGTAAAGTGTTTTAACTGCCCCCATTGTTAGCAATTCTCTATATCAGATCGACCTCCACGCGGTTCCCCCTGGAAACCATCGTGAACAATTCCAGGTGTATTTATCACGATGGGTTAACTGACCCGCCTTTTCATTCTCGCCTATCATCCTTCACTGGTGCCCCGCCGGTGTATACCGATAGCGCAGGCGGGGTTACCATTCCATTATCGCCCATTAAAAAAAGTACCCCTTAGTCGTCTCTTACGACATCGACGTGAACACGGGTAACAAGTTTATTTTAATAATATATAAATATTTTTATTTTTTCTTAATCTTACATTTTTTGTTTTTTTCAGGGCTACTGAAAAAACCGGTGACGAAAATTTAGAACGAGATCTTGCATTTTGTATTTTTGTTCATAAAATAAATATTATAAATTCAAATGTTTTTCATTTATATCATTTTGTAAACGTTTTTGTTTTTTTTTTTTCGTTAATTACACTTCTTACGCCATACAGCTGCGCCATACTCTTTTTTTCTTTTTTCCTCTACCCAAAGGTTGCCAAAAAAGATGGTTGGTTTTTTTTTTTCTAAAAAAAATGGGAATTCCCCTGACAACAAAAGTGTACGGTACATTGTATATATTCTTTTATCTCTTTTTACTGCGTATTTATATCTCTGTCTGTTGTTATTTGTGTGCTGTAAGTGATGCAAATAAATTATATAAAAAGAAAGAAAGAAACATTTATTTATTGCTTAATTTTACACATAATTACAAATATATTTAAGAATAAAAATAAATCTAAAATGAAAATATATTATTTTTGGTACTGGTACAATAAAAAGCAAAAATAAATTATATATAAAAAAAAAGAATTATTACGAATCTAAATAATAAAAAAATATACAAAATGGCGGAATTGTCAAAAGGGAATGCTGAACGGGTAGTTCTTGTGCGTTTCGCCCATTCTGTAAAAAAGAAAAATCAATTTTAGTAGAATATATTTGTTGCATATACGGCATCCCTATCTCATTTAGTTGTACGTCGCAATTGTAGATGGCAACATATTAAAAAAGTTTACTTATGGACTCTGCTCAGTTTTTTTATTATTATTTTTTTAATGGATGATAATGGAATGGTAACCCCACCCGCGCTATCGGTATACACCGTCGGGGCACCAGTAAAGGATGATAGGTGAGGATGAAAAAGCAGGTCAGCCCGTCGTGATGATTACATCTGGAATTCAGTATGATGAGGGGGACCGCGTGGAGGTCGACCTGACAGGATATATTGCTAGCAATTGGACTGGTAGTCCGCATTACTAACAATCCCTTCCCCCTACTGGACTGTAGTGCAAGTACAGACATTGTCGGGAGGAGAACATACCCTGTCAGGTCGACCTCCACGTGGTTCCCCCTGGAAACCATCTTGCTGGTTTCTATATGTATTCATCACGATGGGCTAACTGACCTGCTTTTTAATTCTCACCTATCATCCCTCACTGGTGCACCGCCAGCGTATACCGACAGCGCAGGCGTGGTTAACATTCCATTATCACCCATTTAAAAAAACTTACCCAATAAATGTGTATGTCCTTTTATTTCTATTCAATGCATTCAGAGCGTCCACTTGTTCAGGAGTTAATCTTTTCTCCAGCGCTTGCAGATTGTCCCACAAGTGGGCACCTGTGGACGCCTTAACGACGACGCTATGCCCCGACTCAATTTGGTACCTGCAAAAAATATATTACAAGATGTCTTCTAGTACAGTAGAGAACAAAACAGAAGAAATGTTTATTGAGAACTATACAATTTAAAAAAAAAGCAAGCACAACTACTTCACGGTAGAAACACGGATGGGACAGAGGTACCCATGCATATGACTTCTATAAGTCTCTCTGGTGACATGATGAGGATGAAATTTTTTTTATACAACTTAGAATGGCAAACAAGCTGACGGCCCACCTGATGGAAAGTGGTAACCGTCGCCTATAGACATGAGCAGTACCATGGATATAACAGCGTACACTGTTTCGCCCATGATACCCCCCATGCGTTGCCATTCCTGAGGACTCAGGTGTTATTCCTCTGTACCCAGTAAATTCACGCCATATCCCACCCTTCAAACCGAAACACAGCCATGCAAACAATTGTTTCACGGTTGAAACACGAATGGGACAGAGGTACCCAAGCAATCGACATTTGTACAAAGTCTCCCTCTGGTATGAGGTTTGTTCTGCCATTTTTAATATGACCACAAGAAGTTGCATACGTGCATGCATACAACCTTCGTTCATACCCTGGGGTGGGCACAGGACAATACTTATGTGGGCACAGCCTCTAGGCTCCCATAAATACGCACTTATCAGGAATGCTCAGGACAACCTGAAGTTGTTTTTGTAGTTAAAACTAACCTGACAAGTAACTGTCCAATGGTCATGTCAAGCCCTGCCGCCATAACTTTTACCAGGGGATCATCAACGATAGGAGGTAGTGAGCTCTTCAACTCTTTAGGTGTTCCCTTGGAGCCTAGTACACCGTAACACATGAGTTTTACATCTCGCTCTTCGCAGAATTCGTTCAGTCTTTGCTGAGACAGGTACGGATGGCATTCCACCTGAAAAAAAAAAAATTAACTAATATGACCCATTCCTTTCACGTGGGTATTGTAAGAGGCGATTAAGGGAAATTAACGATCAAGGGATGAGTAGCAGCGTCCCTTTTAAAATGTCACCAAAGCCTAATTGCGGTTGCCAATTCGCCTGCTAAGCGTGGCAACTACTGACAAATTGCACCAATAAGGAGATTGCACAAAAATCGATTGCTTGGGTACCTCTGTCCTATTCGTGTTTCAACCGTGAAGCAGTTGTGTTTGCATGGCTGTGTTTCGGTTTGAAGGGTGGGATATGGCGTGAATTTACTGGGTACAGAGGATTAACACCTGAATCCTCAGGAATGGCAACGCATGGGGGGTATCATGGGCGAAACAGTATACTCTGTTATGTGCATGGTACTGCTCATGTCTATAGACGACGGTTACCACTTTCCATCAGGTGGGCCGTCAGCTTGTTTGCCATTCTAAGTTGAATAAACTTCTGTTCAGCAGTGGACAGTTCATGGCTTATATGATAGATTACTAAGACATACATGTGTAGAATTACTAAGAAATGCAGGTGGTCAACTTGGTAAAATGGGATGTTATGTTTCAGGGGTCTCACGACTGGAGCGTAATCGCAGACCATGTCTTACCTTTTATCCTGTCTTTTGTGCCCTTCATCCAGCACGAAGGAAGCTCTGAACGAGGCAACCAACTGTGGAAGTCGCTAAATTCTAATCCAAAATGTATTTAGGCTGTCTGTTGACTCGACAGAAGAAGAAAAATACCTGGTTAATGACGGGTTTGATTCTCGCTCTCCCGAGCACCCTATGCAGCTGTTTGGAGTTGAAATTGCTGACCCCGATGCTCCTCACCAGACCTTTCTCCACCAGCCCCTCCATCCCGTACCAGGCATCCAAATAATCATACTCCGAGTATTGAATCACGTTCGCTATCTTCGGTATTGGTTCTTTGCCTTCCTGTAATAATATATGTGTAATAATAATAATATACTATCAGGTCGACCTCCGCGCGGTTCCTCCTGGAAACTTTTGTGGGTAAGTACTGATGAATTCGTCAGAATGGGTTAATTGAGCTGTTCTCATCCTCACCTTTCACTGGTGCCTCGTCAGTGGATAGCGCAGGTGGTTTTACCATTCCATCTTTACCTATTAAAAATTTCAATGTCCTCAAAAATAGCAACGTATGAGAGGTAGTAGAGTATTGAGTGAGTCGAGAGATGTTCAAATAATCAATTTCAAATTTAAAGTCTCCCTCCGTTAAACTTAGCTAAACTAAAAAACAGCTTGGTCTGTTGGTATGTGTTCTGAGGAATTGTTTGAAATGATGCTCACAGCCACCTTTTATCATCGCGCCGCTCGCCATCGACAGGGAGTTCATCCTCACTCACTTGAACCTAAATGGTCACATATGGGGGAGAAAGGGATTGTCAATAATGCGGACTATCAATTCAATTGCTAGCAATATACCCAACAAGTCGACCTCCTCGCGGTTCCCCCTGGAAACTATCATGGTTAATTCCTAATGAATTCATCATAATGGGCTAACTGGCCTGTTTTCATTCTCATCTATCACCCTTCACTGGTGCTCCGCCAGCGTAACCTGTTAGCGCAGGCGGGGTTACCGTACCATTTTCACCCATAAAAAAAAAATGGTCACATATAGAGAAATTTTCTCCCACGAACGCTAAAGCTGTGGAATGAACTCTCTGCCAAGGTTTTCCTCTAGTGTTGCAGGAATCTATAAGCTACAGTGATCGTTTACCATCAGACGGGCTGTATGCTTGTTTGCCACCTTTGTGGTATAAAAATTTAATAAAAAAAATAGTGTACCTTAAATTACCTCTTACCTTGAAGGACATAGGGCTGTGTATCAAATATAAATTGAAATAGTCAAGGTGCATCGCGGCGAGCGAGGCGCGACAAGCCACCTCAACGAGGTCTGGTCGGTGATACGTACTCCATAGCTTTGAAGTGATGAACAGCTCCTCTCTGGACATGTAATTTAATTACATGTGTCTTCATCGTAGTATATTAATTTATTTTAACATTTATTATATAAGTGGGTAGGTATTATATGTATTTATAGTGTATGTATTTATGTAATATTTTATTAACCTGTATATTTGTTTATGTATTAATAGTTGTAGCACTTCAGCTGCCCGCTAACGAAATGCTTTCTCACTGTACTGCGTTGACTGGAAGAGATCTCTGTCAGAGATAAGTCCACCCTTGCTCACAACATTTATAAATACATTATTTTACATGTAACTTACAAGTGCAATAAAGAATATATGTATATATTTTTAAATGAACTAAAATGCGGTTCACATTACTACACTAGGCTCACAGACCTGTATCGTAGAAGTCGGTGAGTGGCTAATTAAGTTAGTACATATTTTTTGCCATTTACAGTCCGGTTCTTATACAGTTTTATCATTTAGGTACTCGAATGTTAAAATACATTTGAAATATATAACTAAACAAGAAAAAAAAAGTAAAATTATGATTTGTTTTTGATAATTTTTCAATTCGTGTGTGTTTCGGTTTGAAGGGTGGGATATGGCAGTGAATTTACAGGGTGCAGAGGAATAACACCTGAGTCCTCAGGAATGGCAACGCATGGGGGGTATCATGCGTGAAACAGTATACTCTGTTATGTCCATGGTACTGCTCATGTCTATAGGCGACGGTTACCACTTTCCATCAGGTGGGCCGTCAGCTTGTTTGCCATTCTAAGTTTTATAAAAAAAAAATCTCTGACCTGGTGACTGTACCATCATCTATTTTCGCTTTGATCGCTTCTCCCACCTCCAGCTCGTTGCCGTAAATGTACGCGGTGTCTATGGCGCGGAATCCGAGGTCTATGGCCGCTCCAATAATATGGTGGAGAAGACGTTTGTCAAGCTGAAAGAATTATTATTCCATGATTAGGTGTCAGAGTAGAGTATTTTCTGTGATAGCACGACATATCTGAGAGGAGAGAGTGAGAGAGATATAACTACAGAAGTGGGTAATAAAGCAATGTCTATATACCTACTACAGGTTTTTTAATGGGTGAAAAATGAATGGTAACCCAACTTGTTGGCGAGGTAGCCCACTCCATTTTCGACCATACACAAATACCTATAAAAATATGTCTTTTATTAATTATTTGTCTGTAAACTTTAACAGATATCCTGGTAGAATTTATTAAAAGTACTAGGAGAACATAATTGCGAAGATATCACTTATTTTGTTTTCAAGACAATCCAGATGATCTTATTCTTGTTAAGGAAATCCCTAGAATTAGAACAGGCATGTCTACACAATTCCTAAGTACTACCTCATAATTAGGACATAATAATAATAGAGGGTCTAGCTTAAACTATTTATGGGTAATAGGTAGTATTTCTAGGTAGTAGTTAGTATTTATAAACAGATTTCTTAGCATTTGTAACTCTCTATCTACAACAGATTAAAAACTTAGCATGAAGATACAAAATTCTTGTAGAATTTATTAAATGTACTAGGAGAACATATACTAGAGAAGATATTTATTCTATTTTCTAGATCAGATGTCTGAACTCACCAAGGAAGTTCCAAGCGATAGAACCGGCATCTCCACGCCATTTCTGAGTACCAGGTAGGTCATATTCGTTGCTCTACCATATTGCAGTTTTGCATTTGATAATTCTGCAATTCGCTGGTCACATTCTTCGTCGCTGAGTGCGGTCGGCTGGGCGGCAATTGTAGGCTTCGCGGCCGCTCTCTCTATGTTGGGGTTGCTTGTTACGTATTTCACCGCAGTAGATTTTTGCTGTAATTAAAAGTTTTTAAAATTTTAATGTATTTTTAAAGGTGACTTTCATAAGTGGGACCCCTTGTCGCTCCGGTGAACCCTTCCAACTATGCTTTAATTCGAGTCCCCAGGAAAGCTAATGTCCTCGAAATTTACGTAGAATACATAATATTTTATAATTAAGATTATTTTACAAAAATATATACTTATTTTGATTGGGAGGAGGGGGGGGGGGGAGTAATTGTTAGTAATAGGTTTTAACAGCCCTATTGCTAGAAATATACCCGACCAGGTCAACCTCCACGCGGTTTCCTCTAGAAACTATCGTGGTTTTTTTTTGATGGGTGAAAATGGTATGGTAACCCCGCCTGCGCTAACGGGATACGCCGGCGAAGCACCAGTGAAGCGTGATAGATGAGAATGAAAACAGGCCAGTTAGCCCATTAGGATGAATTCATTAGGAATTAACCATGATAGTTTCCAGGGGGAACCGCGAGGAGGTTGACCTGGTTGGGTGTATTGCTAGCAATTGGACTGATAGTCCGCATTACTGACAATCACTTACTCCCCCAATTTACTGACTTTAGCTTTAAGAACATTGTTACTATTTATTTTTTATTTTTTATACAACTTAGAATGCACAGTAGGTGTGTTTCTTTTATCTATCCCGTATAGTTATTCCTCGATCTTCCCCTTCCTCTTTTGCCTTCTATATTTCCTTCTACTATGCTCTTAAAAAAATCGTCATGTCGTATAAGGTGGCCCAGCATTTTGCCTCTTCTATTCTCTATTCTATTCTCTAATAGTCTATACATACATTTGTTTACAAAGTTTTTTATGTTATGTGTACACACTTCGGCAAGCTTCAGTCATTTTCATCTTCACATCAGCCGTTAACTGTCCACTGCCTCTTAAAAGTGGATTTTCCCAGTAGTTGCCACACTTGGCAGGTAGATCGGCAACCGCAGTTAGGCTTTAGTGGTGTTTTTAGAGGGACGCTTCTGGCCATCTCTCGATCATTAAGTTTTCTTAGTATTTTTTATGATAATAATTTAAACTAAGAAATAAATGGAGTACTTACTTCAAACAATGCAATCATCATAGACACAGACTTCTTCCTTGGCCTCTCTTTTACATCAATCTCTTTTCCCCTCTTCGGTTCTTCTATTTTTTCGAAAGAATTCATCCTTGTTATCATCTCATGAACTATCCCTTTGACAGATTCCCCTAAATCTATTTCCGCAAGAGATTTCGGTCTTTCCTTGACTTGTTCTTCTTCTCGACTCCTTCTTCTTCTTTCTGGTTCATTGGAATCGTCAGTGTTACGGGAAAGTGCTACATTATCTTCTGCATTTACAATTTGAACGTTAGTTTCTTGTTCTGTAGGTTTATCTTTGACTGTATCTAAAATGGGTTCGTCTAATGGAATTGTATCTTCATTATTATTAATTTCTAATTCTTTTTCTTGAATATTTATTGGTGCTGGGTCCAAATATTCCGTTTTTATTGATTCTCTAATTTCGTCTCTACTATCAACATATACAGGTTTACTTTCAATTGTGTTCGCTAGTTCTGGAATTACGTCACTAGGAACAGTCTCATCTTTTACATCAAGTTGGTTTTTAGCTGCTTGATCTGCAGGTTGTGTGCCATCATTTGTTACTGAAGACTCTTCTACATTACATTCAGCAATAGGTTCATCATCTTGAGCATCAATGACTTCAATTTCTTGATATTTGATTTCTTCTTCGATTATCTCTACTTTGTTTTCTGGCTCCTCTGTCGGGTTTTCAGTCTTAACTTCTATAATATTAGAATCTAAATCTCTTTGTATCGATACTTTTAAAACTTCATCAATGATGACAGGTTTTGTATTTGCAATTTCGGGCAATTTGCTATTGGCTTCTTTTACATGTGGTTTACGAGTAGGTACTCCATTTAAAGCGGATGGCTTTGGACCAGATGGTGCTATGGGCTCTTGACGCTGTAAAAAAGAATTTCCTGTGTTGTAGACCAGCAAAGAATAAATTTATAGATTTCCTTTCGTATGAAGTGATAATATTGATGTTTTTAAACCTTTTTTTTTATTGAAATGATGATGGTGATGACATGATGAATGATGTTGTGTCATTTGGACATTTGGAAAAAATTAATGAAGTAACAACTATGTAAAAGATACGTTATTTGCAAATGAATAGACTTTGAAAAAAGTCGCATTGACTGGACATATATTAATAAAACAATACGTATGTATAGATGTTACAATATGATAGAATTTCAAATATACATTACCTCAAACATTGCTATCCTTGATAACACGGACTTTCTTTTCGGTGTTTCCTTTACAACATTACTCTGTTCTTTAGTATCTTTAGTATCGTAGGAACGTATTCTGTTTAGTATTCTATTGACTTTGCCCGGAGTGTATTTAGACTCGTCAATTTCTTTATTATTTTCTGGATTTGTATTTTCTTCTGTTGAAATAGTATCCGTATGTCCAGAGTTACCATCAGCAGGAGTATCTTCCGAAATCACTGGATTGTTATTATCTATGCTGACTGATTCTGGTTGGATATCTATAATAGCATTTATTTCGTTTACCAATGGTGTTGCTTCAATTTCTGTACTCCTAAAGACATTGCTGTTTTGATGTTTTTCATTATTCTCTTTTGTAATTCTATTTATATCCTCCTGTGTTGCTACTTTTACTGGTTCTGCTTCTGGGAAATTAACATTAGATTGTTCTGGTGTAAGGTTGGTGTCATTATTCATGTTAAGTCCTACTGAAGGTCCTTCAGACTGACTTTCAGTTTCCAAATTTACTTTAGGTGATTCATTTAGGTTATTATTTGGATTAGGTTTATCTTCATTTTTAGAAATGTATCTAATACGAGGCGGTTTCTGGGGGATATCTTTATACATTGGTATCTTAGTATCAGTCCTAACTTCATTTCTTTTGGCTTTTTCGATTACACTCTGCACCGGACTAGTATCTGGGTTTGTAAGCTTATTTTCATGATCAATTACACGTTTTGGCAACTGAGGTATCCTCGTGTGTTTAACTTTATCAACATTTATTGGTTCCACTTTATTATCTTCGTAATCATGTATTATTTCTTCGAATTTGTCTTCAAGTTTTGTTGGCTCATCAATTTTAGCACTAACTGTATTATCAAGGACTTCTTTTGGTTCATCATCAATGACTTCGTCGTATATTTTGTCAAACTCGTCCTCCAGTTTATGATCATCTGGCTGTGTATTTGATATTGCTTGTTTGTTTGGTGATGATGTAATTTTAGCATCTTTTAACCTTGGAATGGAAGACGCTTTAGAGGGATTTCGAGTCTGAAATAAAAAAGGAACAGTTTTATAAATACTAGTACAGTGGATTAGGAAAATAGAAACTTATAGCTTTAATATATGATTGTCTTACGGTTTGAAGGGTTAGATATGGAAGTGAACCTTATTTTTTTGAAATGGTAACCCATATGAAATGCTATTAGGGTTATTGTACATTCTTTAATGATAAATTAAAAAACAATTCATCTTTATTCAACTATACTTATTTAAAAGCACTTTTAAATCGTCATTATTATGTACTTAGATTATATAGATAGAGCATCGAGCCTCAAAAACGGGTTAGCTTTTAGTCAGGTAAAATAAAAAATAAGACGTTTTCTCCCACGAACACTCTGGTTATGGAATGAGTTCCCTGCCGAGGTTTTCTCAAGAGACTACAGCATGGGGTTTTTCAAAAGGGGGGTAAAAAGGTTTCTTCAGGGTTGGCACGTAATACCTCTGGTATTGCAGGCGTTCATAAGCTACGGTAACCGCTTACCATCAGGTGGGCCGTATGTATGTTTGCCACCCCAGTGGTATGAAAAAAAAATTTTGCTGACTCGTTTTTTAACCAGTATTCTATATACTTACGCACATAATGTATCTTGGTGTATTATTTAATAAATAAAATAAATATAGAAGTTATAAAGGAATCACTCATAACTATTTATCACGCAAAATTGTATGAAAAAGTTGAGCCGCTTTTCTTGAAGCATTTGTATGAAGACACTCTATCTATATAGTCTAAGGTTTATTAACATACCCATGTTTGTAGGTGACGGTGACCATTTTTCATTTGTTTGATGTTGCATTAAAAAGTTTTTTTTTTATACAACTTAGAATGGCAAACAAGCTGACGGTCCACCTGATGGAAAGTGGTAACCGTCGCCTATAGACATGAGCTGTACCATAGACATAACAGAGTGTACTGTTCGCCTATGATACCGTTCACACGCTGCCATTCCTGAGGACTCAGGTGTTATTCCTCTGTACCCTGTAAATTCACACCATATCCCACATTTCAAACCGAAGCACAGCCATGCAAACACAACTGCTTCACGGTAGAAACACGAATGGGACAGAGGTACCTAAGCAATCGACTTTTGTATAAAGTTACCCTCTAGTAAATATATATGTTATATATGTATATAAATATATATTTAATACGTTATAATAATAGTATCTTTTACTTACAATTTCATTTTTCTTGTCTATGGAACCTTGCTTGAACTTTTCTAAAGCCTGTCTAAATTTCGAGGTTGGTATTCTAGACCTTTCTTTGGTGTCGTCGTGACTCGGTCTCCTTCTATCAGCGTTTGCAGTTGGTAATGATGCAGCGACATCTTCGTGGGGCTCGTCATGGATTCCGTTGACTTCATCATTCTGTAACAACAAGTTGAAAATCATTTTTAATTCGACTTAAAAAAGAAGCAAGAACAGCTTGGGACTGGTAGTTCGCATTATTAACAATCCCTTCCCCTACTGGTGTAAGAGGTAAAACAAGGTTCAACCGAATCAGTTATTATAAACTTGTTTTAATGTATTTTAGTATGGCAAATAAGCTGACGTGGTAGGTGGTGAATATTGGATATATAAAGTATACATAACGGAGTTATTTATAAAAATCACTAAAAATATATTTTATAATAAAAAAAAAACATGAAACATTGTATTGCAAAGGCGAGCTTATCTCTAAAATAGATTTCTTGTATGTATTTATTATACCATCCATTGCTAAAATGTTTTATTAACTTCTGAGCATTATTATCGACAATGTTGCTGTAGTTTTCAATAGTATTTGTTTGTTTAATTTTGTTTAATTTAGTATTGTCTAATTTTGTGTTTCGTTTACTTGTATTTTATTTTGTGCAAATTCTAGTGGCTGCCAAATTACTATTTAAGTATATAACTATGTATTATTTTAGCTATATATATATATATATATATATATATATATTATATATATATATATATATATAATATAAGATTTTTAATATAAACGGTTGCTGTAAACTTCACACATGATATTTTATGTAGGTTAATGTTTAATTAGTCGAACTGTTAAGTACCTAGGCGCTATCAATTCCGTTTTTTTATCGTGCCTCTCACCAAATTGTTTATAATTACTCCTCTCCATCCAAAGGTTGGCTGGAAGAGATCTGAGAGATTGGCTCTTAGCGATAAGGTCGCCCATTGTTTTCTCACTGTGATTATTTCTTGTAATTGTTTGTATCTATAATAAGTTTACTGTTGTAATATTATGAAGTAATAAAGAGTATCTATCTATCTATCTATCTACTTATGTATTTCTTTATTTAATAAAAAAGCAGTCACATAGGTACTGTTTTTGAAACATCTGATATCCAGTACGAGATATAAATACTATAAATAGAAATGATTAAATTGGGAAAAACTTTTAAAAGTACATGGAAAGTAAAAAAACTGCTGTGTGTGCAGTGTGGTGTCCTGCTGTGGTGTGAAAAAAAAAAATTTTTTTTTCACACCACAGCAGGGTGTGGTGTTGCCAGATAATCACAAACAATGCACTGAAGTCTAAGATTTTTTTTATACAACTTAGAATGGCAAACAAGCTGACGGCCCACCTGATGGAAAGTGGTAACCGTTGCCTATAGACGTGAGCAGTACCATGGACATAACAGAGTATACTGTTTCGCCCATGATACCCCCCATGCGTTGCCATTCCTGAGGACTCAGGTGTTATTCCTCTGTACCCTGTAAATTCACTGCCATATCCTACCCTTCAAACCGAAACACAGCCATGCAAACACAACTGCTTTACGGTTGAAACACGAATGGGACAGAGGTACCCAAGCAATCGACTTTTATGCAAAGTCTCCATCTGGCAATTTTACTTGCAATTTTTTTTTATCGTGTATAGTCCAGTTCATCGTCATCATACCAATCTTTAGCTGTCCGCTGCAGGGGGGGGGGAAGGGATTGTTAGTAATGGAGTTTGACAGCCCCATTGCTAGCAATATGCCTTATTAGGTCGACCTCCACGTGGTTCCCTCTGGAAACCATCGTGAACAATTCTTGTTGAATTCGCCACGATGGGCTAACTGACCTGCTTCATCCTCACCTATCATCCTCCACTGGTGCCCCGCCGGTGTATACCGATAGCGCGGGTGGGGTTACCATTCCATTATCACCCATTAAAAAAAAACTGTCCACTGCTAAACATAAACCTTCCCCTTGGTTTTGCCGGTAGTTGCCATGTTTGACAGGCGGATTGGCAACCGCAGTTAGGTTTTAGAGATGTTTTTAGAGGGACGCTGTTGCCCATTCTCGCCCTCTTTTAGTCGCCTCTTACGACAACCACGGGAAAGGAAGGGGTGGCCTATTCTATGCCGGGACCATATAGTCTCGATAATGTATTTAAAATGGAGTTTGTTTTGTTTTTAAAATTTAATACCTTTCTCCATACGTCTAGCCTTATATGCCTAATTTGAAGATGAATGTCTAAGTAGGTAATTGTTATGTAGAATTATTTATATGAGAACAAAAAACGTGCCTACAGTTTTTGCTGCTTTGTTTTTTTATCACCAAATTTTGGTGATGAGATGTTCAACAGTTGACGACAATTTAGCCCAACAGTGGAGTTGAACAGAGTGGGACGTACTCCCAATAGGACTGTTCGAAATCTTTTGTACCAGGATATCATGTTGCTATTGGAGATTTATAAATTCAAAAAAGTAAATGAAAGACATAGAATTATAACATAAAGTGCAAGTTTATTTAATTTGTTTTGTTTAATTAATATTTATATTCAAACTTTTGTACGGTCCTGACAATGGTTTGGCCCGGCAGTGTTTGTTTTTTGAACAAATGTTGGTAACTCACCGATATGTTTTCAGTGACGGCCACTTTTTGCAACTTCAAATCCCCTTTCGTGTATGAGCTTTCCTCCTTCTTCACAGTTATCACTGGAGAGAGCACGTAGTCTTCTGGTGCTTCGACTTTATCGTCATCGCGTAAAGTTGAATTTCCAACGTCCGTATTGCCATCCAGCTCCCGTAGTTCCTGGTCGCCTGGTACTTCGCTTTCTATGTCCGAAGGTTTTATATACTCAATTTCTAATTTATATACCTTCGGTTCCGCCATTTTGCTTCTGTAATTAGTTACGAAGGGATATATAGTCGAAAAGTGGTGTAGATTCGAATCCAGATTCGTGCAACAGGTAAAATACTTACAAATGTGTTGTAGGCACCAAGAATTTCAACAGTCGACTGTGGTCGCCTTTTTCCATGTAATCATTAATCACTTATCATATTTTATGATAATTATAATGATATGATAACGAATTCATTTATTGATATCACATTCACACTTTTTATTTCACAGTAATATAAAAATAAAATAATATAAATCGTAATTGGCTAGAATATTTTTTTTTTAAGAAATGGCAGTATGCAAAGTAGTGCAACCGATAATGCCAAATGGTAACTAAAGAATTCGTAAAAGAACCGACTTCAAATGTGATAAAACCATTTATTTTGGTTTAAAACTAAACAATCGAATGGATATCGATAAAAATTCTATGGGACCATATATAAGTAATATCCCTTCATTTAAAAAAAAAAAAAAAACTATTTTCAAAATCAGTTTAGATCGAGTTTTAATTCATAAATTTTTGTCAAGGAATTTCGCGACTGACTCTTGGCCACAACAGAATATCAGTGTTTTGCTCTTTTGAGGGCAAAACAGTAAACGGTATTGTGACCATTTTGTGTTAAAATGAAAAATTATGTTACTTCCTTTTTGTAATTATCCCTCTGTTGTTGTTTGTTATGTTATGTATTTGTAACATCTCCTTCGTTTAAAAAAAGAAAAATGGTTCCGTTGCCTTTGAACATTATTATTTTTTAAAAAAGATATATAAATACATACATTATCATATACAAAATATTTATGGAGTACAGGATATTAGAATTTATTTAATGCCTAAACGAAATTTAGATATTGAATTAACAACTGTGCACGCATGATTTGTCTTGATCTTATTTTAGTGTTTCTGCCAACTCTAACGGGACACAAGTATGATCATTTTTCAATTATAAAAAAAAAAAAATCCGGTTAATTCTCACGCCTGTTTAATTAATCTATTTAAAAAAAAAAGTATTTAAAAATCTAATAGAACGGCAACACTATTTTTAGTAGATACCGTTCAAACGAACAAATAAAAATCTATACGGGCACTATGTGGTATCTAGGCTGTATGAGCCACGCTCTTTGCCTGTTCCCACTTGAATTTTAAGACGACATTTATTTTTGGCGCACTTTTTGACGAAACGTAACTACATGGAGAAAAAAATGCACTAATCACCATTTGTAAACTGGTTTTAATGTGTTTTTAAAGAATTATATGAACTTATTTGATACATATATATCGTAGATATATGTAAACGCGTGTATCGAGCGATGTGGTTGTATGTACTGGAATTCTTGGCGTGTTATCATGCCGATAACAAAGATATTGATTGGTCCCATTGATAAATGTTTGTCCTTGCATAACGCAACACTAATATTATTTATTTACTTTGAAATAACCTTTGAAATTAGAATAAAAAAAAGGAAAACTTAAAAAACAAAAAACAAAATGAATGTAGCAGTGTTTGTGTACTCCGCATATGTCGCACTTTCATATCTATCAGTAGGCCCTAAATACTTATTTATTTTACATTTATGTAGAAAGGTACACGTGGCGGAGTTACCACCATTTACCATCAGATGCTCTCAGTATGCTTGTTTGCCCACCTTGGTGGTATAAAGAAAGAAACATCTAAAAGCGTTCTCTACCAGGCGATCATGAGGTAAACGGAGATGGTTGGTGACGGTATTTTGAAATAAATGGGAAATTATATAAACATACTAGCGGCCCGATGCGCGCTTCGCTACGTATAAAGTGAAATAATAATAATAAAAAAAATTAACATCAAATTAATTTATTCAAATAAAAAATATTTTATTAATTGCTAGCTATTTTAAAACTTAATCTAAAACATTTGAATACACAGTATTTTTTGTTTTTCTATTTTGAGCATGAACAAACAAACGGCTGGCGGTACCGACTCTGGAAAAGGCAACATAATTTGGCCACGTGAAAAACATGATTCCTCCAAATTCACACCGCAAACGTTAAATATTTGCCCTTGGTCCTTGTATATAAGAACTAAATTATATCTTAAAATGTAGCAAACTATATGATCAGTACATCGTTTAAATAATAAAGTCTGTAAACGATATGAAACATCGACGACTCGCTAAAAAACTAAGAAAAGTACCTACACGCACACATATACATCTATCTCTATCTATCCTATTTAAGAGCTGCGCTCTTGTCGGCGGAGCTCTTGCCACTCACTACGATTTTCAGCGAGTCTCTTCACCTCTTGATACGACACGACACCAACTCCTTCCTTGATCTGCCCGATGTAACTATGTCTCGGTCTCCCTCTCCCCCTCCTTCCTTCTATCTTACCTTCTATTATAATGTTCATAAGTTCGTCGTGTCGTATCAAGTGTCCCAACATTTTTCCCCTTCTGTCCTCAATAGTTCTAATAATTTGTCGTTTTTCCTTAACCCTAAGCAGGACCTCCTCATTGCATTACATATACATAGTATACATTTATTTATTTATTTATTTATTGCATTCCATAATAATTAATTAATACATAATACATAATTATTACATAAGGTTTCAATTATGGACCCTGTTGGGCACAGCAAGTGGGAGAGAGGAGGACAACACTTTTTCACTTTCGAAATAGTATATCACGATAGGTACGTATTTTCTTACTATTATTGTTATTCATTATTTAAGTATCGGTGTGTATCTATTCATATCGTAATTGTTATTAGTATTATATAGTTATTTAAGCTTTAATATATTCTGTAGTTTATAATTATTTATATTCATATTGTAAAATTAATCAATAAATAGTTCAATAATAAAATTGCAGCGATGTCAGTTTTAGCTATGTCTTAAATCATTATCGATTCATAATTAGTTATTTATTTATAAATTACAAGATAAATTCTGCTTGTCATTCAAGTATTCGTCAATAGTATAGTAGCATTTAGTAATTAATAACTTTTTAACACTTCTTGCAAAAATATTGTTATTTTCTTCATTTTTTTTTAGTGTTTCTGGCAATCTGTTATATATTTTTATTGATGACACAAAGGGACCAGCGGAATTATGTATTACATTTGAACAATTCAAGACTCACCGTTTGTATGAATGCACTCAACAATATGTTTAAAAATGTAAACACAAAGCAATAATTATCGCTGACAATTTGCTTCAATTGAAGCACGTCCAAAATGAAATGCCCTCATGAATGACATAACAACATGCTTGTACTGTCAACACTGAGAAACAGTTTCAATTTGACAGCACAATGCGCATCTTAAAAAAAAAATGAATTTGACACAAAAATCCCCATTAACAAAATGATCAGCCATTTATTGAATTCATTTGTTATAAAAAAAAATGTGATAAAAGAAGAACCGCTCGAGCGATTTTGTGCAAACTTCAACATAAACCATCTACTAAATAGTCCGAACAAAGTCTAAACATTTGGTTTGGATAGGTGAGCCCGTTCTTGAGTTATAAAATTACAACGAAAAGTGGCATTATATATATATATATATATATATATATATATCGTGGACATCCAAAAGTACAGAGGAATAACACCTGAGTCCTCAGGAATGGCAACGCATGGGGGGTATCATGGGCGAAACAGTATACTCTGTTATGTCCATGGTACTGTTCATGTCTATAGGCGACGGTTACTACTTTCCATCAGGTGGACCGTCAGCTTGTTTGCCATTCTAAGTTGTATAAAAAAAAACTAACTTTTTGGAGGGAACAGTAAAGAGTATCTATCTATGTATCTACCAGTGAATAGATTGTATCGATTTAATAAAGCTTTTATCTATACTTATAATAAATCTGTAGAGAGGTCAATTCTGTACATGAAATATATTTACAAAATAACTATCAGGCGGTGATTAGTGATCGATACTGATGACAAAAATGCAATCAGTAAAATTTTTATCTGTCTGTGTGTTCGTTATAGAAACAAAAACTACTCGACGGATTTTAACGAAACTTGGTACAGTTATTCTTCATACTCCTGGGCAGGTTATAGTATACTTTTCATCACGCTACGATCAATAGGAGCAGAGCAGTGAAGGGAAATGTTGGGAAAACGGGAGAAGTTACTACATTTTTAAGCTACCGTCGCGTGTGCAGCCTGAATGGCCACTTTTTAAAATGTAAAAATATCCACCCGTGCGACGCCGGGGCGGGCCGCTAGTGTTGAATATTTAAGAACATTTTTAATGCAGATGTAATTGAAATACAAAGAATCAGTAACAAAAGATCATGTATGTTTTTTTTAAAGCAGCCCTTCATTACGAGTTTGTTTTTTTTTATGGGTGAAAATGTCACGGTAACCCCGCCTGCGCTATTGGTATACATTGGCGGGGCATCAGTGAGGGATAATTGGTGAGGATGAAAAAGCAGGTCAGTTAGCCAATCGTGACGAATTCAACGATAAATTAGTCACGATAGTTTCCAGGCGGACCCGCGTGGAGGTCGACCTGATAGGGTGTATTGCTAGCAATGGTTTCATTAGACCCTATTACTAACAATCCCTTTCCCCCCACCAGTGAGAGGTGATAGTGTGAGGATGAAAAGGCAGGTCAGTTAGCACATCGTGTTGAATTCAACGATAAATTAGTCACGACAGTTTCCAGGGGGGACCGCGTGGAGGTCGACGTGATAGCAATGGGGTCATTACATCACATTACCAAAAATCCCTTTCCCTCCCCCACCTCTTGTGTTGCAAACGTCTCTAGGCTACGATGACCGTTTACCATTACATAGGCTTTTTTATTGGGTGAAAAGGGTATGGTAACCCCGCCTGCGCTAACGGGATACGCTGGCGGGGCACCAGTGAATGGTGATCGATGAGAATGAAAACAGGCCAGCTAGCCCGTCATGATGAATTCATCAGGAATTAACCATGATAGTTTCTAGGGGGAACCGCGAGGAGGTCGACCTGGTTGGATATATTGCTAGCAATGGGATTTTTAGTCTCCATTACTAACAATCCCTTTCCCCCCATCATTAGATAGGCTGTATGCTTGTTTACCTTTGTAGTATATAAAAAAAAAAGATTTACAGAGTAGGTATTGACGTCATCCACGCACACAGACAAACATCGCGAAGCGAGACGTTGGAGGATGGAGCGAGGGGCAGAAGTAAACGAATAAATTCCAATTTGGCTGCATGCTCTTCACGTCCCGAACGGACGCGCCGCGGCTGCCTGTTGATTGCTGTGCCCGGTTTACATGTTGCTAAGTTTTTTAGCAATTTTTTTTAATGGATGTAAATAGAATAATACAGAGGGAGACTTTGTACAAAAGTCGGTTGCTTGGGTACCTCTGTCCCATTCGTGTTTCTACCGTGAAGCAGTTGTGTTTGCATGGCTGTGTTTCGGTTTGAAGGGTGGGATATGGCGTGAATTTACAGGGTACAGAGGAATAACACCTGAGTCCTCAGGAATGGCAACGCATAGGGGTATCATGGGCGAAACAGTATACTCTGTTACGTCCACGGTACTGCTCATGTCTATAGGCGACGGTTACCACTTTGCATCAGGTGGGCCGTCAGCTTGTTTGCCATTCTAAGTTGTATAAAAAAAAAAATAGAACGGTAACCCCGCCTTGCCGTGTGGTTGCGACATAGGATTAGCCACCGTTCCTTTTTTTATACCACTGAGGTGGCAAACAAGCATACGGCTCACCTGATTATAAGCGGTTGATGTAGCCTATGAACGCCTGCAATACCAGGGGCGTTACGCGCGCGTTGCCGACCCTGAAGTAACCTCTTTAACCCCCTTTTGAAGAACTCTATGCTGTAGTCTCTTGGGAAAACCTCGACAGGGAGCTCATTCAATAACCTGAGTATTCTTGGGAGGAAACATCTCTGAAACCGCGTTGTACGCGACCATTTAGGCTGTTCCTTTCCCGTGGGTGTCGTAAGAAGCGACTAAGGGTGGGCGAGGGATGGGCAGCAGCGTTTCTCTTATAATATCTCCATCTCCAAAGTCTAAATGCGGTTGCCAATGTCGTCTGCCAATCATAGCAACTACTAGCAAAATATCCCTTTATAGGGGAGACCTATGTTTAGCAGTGGAACTGTCGACTGCTGAACTTGGATCTCCCTTAAATATTTACTTTTAATTTCACCAGAGGGAGACTTTGTACAAAAGTCGGTTGCTTGGGTACCTCTGTCCCTTTCATTTCATGAAGCAGTTGTGTTTGCATGGCTGTGTTTCGGTTTGAAGGGTGGGATATGGTGTGAATTTACTGGGTACAGATGAATAACACATGAGTCCTCAGGAATGGCAACGGATGGGGGTA